ATAAAATAAAAGGATTCTCTTGGGGCATTTGTAAATATTAGTTTAGAAATACTCCGCATTTCTAAATGGGGAATGCACCCCCCATACGGGGGAATGCACCCCCCTCCCTTGAAATAAACTCCGACATTCGAGTTTCTTCTTCCTCTTTTGTCACGACTCTCTTCCCCGGAGAATCTACGGAGGATTGCAAGTTGCTACAGACTTTAAAGAAATTTATTCATAAAGCATTGTACCATCTTTTCTTTTAATATTTGGTGAGGGAATATTAGTGTTTGGCACTAGGCTTTAAACTTCATATGAGTCTGCACAGTCCATTTGACAAATTTTTCAATTTCATAGTCATGGTAACGACAAGCTGGATCTATTTTCATCGCTTTCTGAGTGATTAAATCGTTTGGTCACATAAATGTACGCAAAATCATCTGAGCATGCGCAGTACGCTTGGAAATGCGCAGTACAAGCAAAGTCTATTTGACCAATTGTCTGAGTAAACGATCATGGAAATGACCAACTGCATTTATTAGAATCAATTAGGGAGTAGATAACTTGCTTACTAACAAATTATTAAAGATATCAACTGAGCATGCGCAGTTCACTTGACAGTTTTTGACTTCATAGTTATGGCAACGACCAGCTGCATCTACAAGCACCGAATTTGAAGTAAATAGCATGCTTAGTTACAATTAAATGGATAAATCATCTGCGCATGCGCAGGAGCATGCGCAATACATTCGACCAATTGGTTATAGTCATGGCAACGACTAACTATATGTACTTGCACTATATTTGTGGCAATTAGCTCACTTAGTCGCAAATTATCAAAGAAATCATCTGGGCATGCGCAGTAGTGACTTTAATAATACCGTACTTTCGTAAGCCTCTGAATTTTCGTATATATATATAAAGCCAATATTAGGTATAGTAGATGTCAACTAGCAGTGGAAGCTGGGTGCGATATGTATGCAGTGGCTTAGGGGTCCAGACGTTTCGGGTCGCGACCGCACTCTCCCTGCGTACCCCGAGCAAAGCCTATCGCAGGTGATCTCGGGTCTGATGGGCGGAAGCTTGCTATTGCATCTCCCAAGTAGGATAGCGTGGAGGGCCGAAATCTCCTACCGAAACGTTAACATGCGGCGTTCTAGTGCCTCGGCTTAAGCAGGTATCGGGAAGCATGGACCGAAAACGGGGTTTTGCTTTTGAATTTAATCTTTTTTGTATAAAAGAAACTAGAACATTCAAGGATATTGCAAAGTTAAAAAATTCCGCCTTAATGACTTATAATTTAAACCAACTGTAAATATGTTTATACGCTTTTACATGTTAACTTTTGAACTTGCAAGGAGCAGTCAAGCGTCTCACTGTGATAAACCTACGAAGTATTCTTTCTCTCATTTTCTTGTTTAGAAAAAGTTATCAACTAAGTGGTCGAACTCTTCGTAAACTACCATTCCTTGCACATGCGCTGTACTCAAAAGTAAGTAATACGAATTAAAGCCTTCACCCGTGTTCTTTTTGTTGTACATGCATGTACTTATATTGTCCCTCAAACCTACGTAATAGGCGCAAACGATAACCTTAGAAGAGTTTTTGAATAATCTTTCAATGGTTGTCGACAAGCAGTTCAAATAAAAGAGAATCTTTGCTCAGTTGGTGAAGAAAAAGCGTGCAAACGTGATCTTTTAGCGATTGTATACTTTTTATACATTCATAGTAATATTTGGATATGTTTTGTTGAAGATTAAGATTTTGTATTGCTCAATTTAAGTTCAATAAGTAACATAGATCACAAAGTTTGCTAATTTATATTGATGCTTTAAGACTCCTTACATGACGTTTCCGCAACACACCCGAGGTCAAAGTTCGTATATATTAAAATGCAACAATGTGTATAGTTCGTTATTGAGGATAATGTATAGATTATTTTACATAGGGAAAGATATTTATACGCTATAGTTAATTGTAACTGTTTAATTTCAACTTATGTTTACATTAAATGACATCCTTAAGCCAACTTTACTAATATTGATCGCTATTTTCGTGTTATACATCTATAATCATCTTGTTGTTAAAGATTTGAAGCTTTGCTGCGATAATACAGGTTTGTACAGCTATCTCATCTTTGTTTGTTGCCTGCCTGATAGCATGTCGACTCCGGGGACCAGATTTTTTATCGTGATTTATATGACATTATAGATTGTCGTACGTCTATCTAATATCTTGAGTATAAACGATATGTTTTTGAAAGATGAGTTTACATATACTCTAGCGTAGTGTCTTCATCAGGAGTGATCTGATGTTGAAACTTGAGTCTTTATATACTCCAGTCTAGTGTCTTCATCAGGAGTGATCTGATGTTGAATCTTGAGTCCTTATATACTCCAGTCTTATGTTTTCATCAGGAGTGATCTGATGTTGAATCTTGAGTCCTTATATACTCCAGTCTAGTGTCTTCATCAGGAGTGATCTGATGTTGAAACTTTAGTCCTTATATACTCCAGTCTTATGTTTTCATCAGGAGTGATCTGATGTTGAATCTTGAGTCGTTATATACTCCAGTCTAGTGTCTTCATCAGGAGTGATCTGATGTTGAATCTTGAGTCCTTATATACTCCAGTCTAGTGTCTTCATCTGGAGTGATCTGATGTTGAATCTTGAGTCCTTATATACTCCAGTCTAGTGTCTTCATCAGGAGTGATCTGATGTTGAATCTTGAGTCGTTATATACTCCAGTCTAGTGTCTTCATCAGGAGTGATCTGATGTTGAATCTTGAGTCCTTATATACTCCAGTCTTATGTTTTCATCAAGAGTGATCTTTTATTGAAACTTTCGCTAGTGTTATTTAACCATGTTATCTAAAAACTTTATCCTACATAGTCCATTTTTGTATTTGTGTTTCCACTTGTTTTCTTTAATGTTTTAAAATAATGTTCTTGACAGCAGAGAATTATTCTCATTATGATTTGGTCGTTGGAATACTTTCATCGCGCGGCAACTTTGATTTGAGGCAAAGTTTACGTGAATCATGGGTTGGCTATGCAAGACGACATTCATCTCTAAATAAAAGGTAAGCACAGGGAAAACACTGAATTTTCTTGAGGGTAGCTGTAGTGTGTTTTGTATTCAATTAGAGCTACTTAGCGTGTGAAACGTTACAGCAAACACAATATTTGTGAAGGTAAAGTGTAGAACAGTGTTTCAAATTGGCCTGTCGCGTTTACAACGAATTTCTTTAATACCAGAAAACGTTTCTTCAATACCAGAGAACGTTTACAAAGTATTTCTTCAATACCAGAGAACGTTTACAACGTATTTCTTCAATACCAGAGAACGTTTACAAAGTATTTCTTCAATACCAGAGAACGTTTACAACGTATTTCTTCAATACCAGAGAACGTTTACAAAGTATGTCTTCAATACCAGAGAACGTTTACAACGTATGTCTTCATGATATGAGAGTTATTATCTCATATCATGAAGATACTTTAGCGATTGTATACTTTTTATACATTCATATTACTATGAATGTATAAAAAGTATACAATCGCTAAAAAGATCACGTTTGCACGCTTTTTTCTTCACCAACTGAGCAAAGATTCTCTTTTTCTTTGAACTGCTTGTCGACAACCATTGAAAGATTATTCAAAAACTCTTCTAAGGTTATCGTTTGCGCCTATTACGTAGGTTTGAGGGACAATATAAGTACATGCATGTACAACAAAAAGAACACGGGTGAAGGCTTTAATTCGTATTACTTACTTTTGAGTACAGCGCATGTGCAAGGAATGGTAGTTTACGAAGAGTTCGACCACTTAGTTGATAACTTTTTCTAAACAAGAAAATGAGAGAAAGAATACTTCGTAGGTTTATCACAGTGAGACGCTTGACTGCTCCTTGCAAGTTCAAAAGTTAACATGTAAAAGCGTATAAACATATTTACAGTTGGTTTAAATTATAAGTCATTAAGGCGGAATTTTTTAACTTTTGCAATATCCTTGAATGTTCTAGTTTCTTTTATACAAAAAGATTAAATTCAAAAGCAAAAACCCGTTTTCGGTCCATGCTTCCCGATACCTGCTTAAGCCGAGGCACTAGAACGCCGCATGTTAACGTTTCGGTAGGAGATTTCGGCCCCTCCACGCTATCCTACTTGGGAGATGCAATAGCAAGCTTCCGCCCATCAGACCCCGAGATCACCTGCGATAGGCTTTGCTCGGGGTACGCAGGAGAGTGCGGTCGCGACCCGAAACGTCTGGACCCCTAAGCCACTGCATACATATCGCACCCAGCTTCCACTGCTAGTTGACATCTACTATACCTAATATTGGCTTTATATATATACAAAAATTCAGAGGCTTACGAAAGTTGCGGTATTATTAAAGTCACTACTGCGCATGCCCAGATGATTTCTTTGATAATTTGCGACTAAGTGAGCTAATTGCCACAAATATAGTGCAAGTACATATAGTTAGTCGTTGCCATGACTATAAACAATTGGTCGAATGTACTGCGCATGCACCTGCGCATGCGCAGATGATTTATCCATTTAATTGTTACTAAGCATGCTATTTACTTCAAATTCGGTGCTTGTAGATGCAGCTGGTCGTTGCCATAACTATGAAGTCAAAAACTGTCAAGTGAACTGCGCATGCTCAGTTGATATCTTTAATAATTTGTTAGTAAGCAAGTTATCTACTCCTAATTGATTCTAATAAATGCAGTTGGTCATTTCCATGATCGTTTACTCAGACAATTGGTCAAATAGACTTTGCTTGTACTGCGCATTTCCAAGCGTACTGCGCATGCTCAGATGATTTTGCGTACATTTATGTGACCAAACGATTTAATCACTCAGAAAGCGATGAAAATAGATCCAGCTTGTCGTTACCATGACTATGAAATTGAAAAATTTGTCAAATGGACTGTGCAGACTCATATGAAGTTTAAAGCCTAGTGCCAAACACTAATATTCCCTCACCAAATATTAAAAGAAAAGATGGTACAATGCTTTATGAATAAATTTCTTTAAAGTCTGTAGCAACTTGCAATCCTCCGTAGATTCTCCGGGAAGAGAGTCGTGACAAAGAGGAAGAAGAAACTCGAATGTCGGAGTGGCAGAGATTGAAAGACGATGAGAATGAACGTTTACTTAAAGAAAGCAGAACTATTTCTGATATTCTTTTGTTTCAAATGTCGATGTTTACAGAAATCTTCCATCCCAGTTGCTTCAGTTTTCTCGTGGTAAGAGAGTGTCTGAGACTTTTATATTTTTCATGCCACTGTGAAATTTCTGGCGATAAGTGGACAGTCTCAAATCAACTTTAAACATTATTTTTGCCCAAATAACTTGCATTAGTGTATAATTCATCTCGCCAGTATCTCCTTACCTACGACATCAGTCGTCATATGTCATATTGATCTTGCTTCATGTCGGCTTTTCTTTTAAATAGGCTCTCGGCGACTTTAAGTTTTTCCTTTGTAATGAAAACTGACGATGATTGTTTTGTTAACCTGGAGACCATCTTACAGGTTTGTGAAAGCTCTTCAATTACATCTCCCAAGTAGGATAGCGTGGAGGGGCCGAAATCTCCTACCGAAACGTTAACATGCGGCGTTCTAGTGCCTTGCGCTTAAGAAGGTATCGGGAAGCATGGACCGAAAACGGGGTTTTGCTTTCGAATTTTATCTTTTGTTTTCTTCTCATAAAACAAACCAAGCAATGTTTCAATTAACTTCTTATGACCCTGTCTTTTCTGACACTTATAAATAAAGACAACCTTAAACATGTTTTATACCAATTTTATCGGTTTATATCTTTCTGATTTAACTCTCCCATTTACTGTTTCTCATGTATTACGAGCAAACCATACATATGTTTCATGGAAAACAAACAAGGATTATGTGGTTCCCTTAGTTAACATGCGACGCTCTAGTGCTCAACTATCTCGGGGTATCGGGAGGCATGGACGTAAACGGGATTCTTTGGTTTTCAAAATTTATCTTTTCTTTACAAGAATTCTTCTCATAAAAAACTAGAACGTCCAAGGATACTTCAAAGGTTCAAACAACTTCTGCCTTTTTGAACTATAACTTAAAAAAACTCTAAGCATGTTTATACGTTTTTTACTTATTACCTTTTACAACGTAACTTTCTCATAACTCTCTCGTGATGAACGAGAGCCTCATTATACAATATGACTCTTTCATCATGAACGAACGCATCCATGGGCTTCACGGAAAAAAGGGATTATGTACTTTGTTATGAGAACAAACCTGTTAAGAAAACAGGTTGTTATTTTATAACTATAAGCTGTGTACAAAACAAAATGAGAGAAGTCACCATCATGCATAAAATGCTTTCTGATACGTAGATGAACACTCGTATTTACTAATTAGCAGACCTGTATATATTATATATTACAGATAAACTTCAAAAATACTTATCTTCAATCTAGCAATCCAGTATCAGACTCTCTTAAATTATTTGGTAAGAAAGTTTTCTGTATTCCAAGAGTTGTTCCATCCATCACCACCTTCTGGGAATTCTTCCACATAATTCACAAAAAAACCCATTGTCAAAATCAATATCAAGCAACCTTAATAAGAGAAAATTCAATAACTTAATAAAACAAGCGATCACTATCTCAATGGAATATTCATATTTTGCAGCTGAAAATGAAATGATGCTTACCGTATCATGGCAATGATAGCGAGACGAAACTTGGCGTAAGTTATTTCCTTTGGGAAATTCAAACTACCGAAGACACTTGCCTTTGTACATATGCAACATAATATTTGTACATAGGTAAACTGAACAAGAATAAAAAGAAAAACATTCAAAAGATATAGTGCGAGAAAATTAAATAATGGACAAACGTAGCTACTAATGCTTCGGCAAATTTTCATTAAAAAGTACCTCGAAAAGCCGTTATGAAAAGCCGAATGTAATCTTTTAGATCGGCATGAGATATTGCATATGATCCAAACCATACAATCCTGTTTTCAATGCCATCATAATGCTTTTTCGTAGCACAAGAGGAGCAAGGTCTACAATACACTAAATAATTTATTTAAGTCAAATAATTATGAAGTGAAGCGTAACCTATAACAAATCAGAACTTACCCTTCACATCATGGATTGAACAAAAGTACGCAACTGAACACAAGTCTACGTACAACCATTCATCTTGAATAGAACGTTTATCCCACTCTGCACCACAAGAACAAATACCACTTTCAGATGGCGCCAAAATTTTATGACCATTTTTTTCAGGAAGATCAGTAAAATCGCTTGCATCATTCTCATTGCCTAAAATAATTAAATAGTAATATTTACAAAATGCTAGAAAGTGCTAAATACCATACCGATAAAGGAAATAGTATATGTAAAGCTAAAAGGATGTTCACCATTGCAGATTATCTTGCATACTTGTTTCAAATAAAGAAACCTTTTCTTTGCTAAGTGTAGCCAATTCAAAATAGTCTCGCATCTGGTGTAATTCCAAAGGAAAACTTAAAAAGTGCCAATGGAGAATCCATTTCATCCTCGTCAACGATTTGCATGGCTTTTGCAAGGGTTGTCACATGAATGCAATGATATGACGAATAGCTGCAACATTTTAACTCGGGCTGGGGCGGCATTACTTTTGAATACACTAAAGTACAAACCCCCCATGGACTATTCACTGGTTTTACAGCAATCCACTGAACCTCCTGCACACTGCACTAAACAAGTCCTAAAATATGTAAAATCATTTATCTTTAAGGTTGTATTATGTGTGTGTATGTATGTGTGTATGTATGTGTGTGTATGTATGTGTGTATGTATGTGTGTGTATGTATGTGTGTGTATGTATGTGTGTATGTATGTGTATGTATGCAGATTAATAATTATGATTAATTATGACTTCACAAAATCCTTAGAAAGTGCTTAATATATATATATCAGGCACGTAAAGCAAATGGTGAATATGACTTTACTATTTTTGTCATACATTTAGTTTATACTACTTAATGTATGTACTGTAAGTATGTGGCTATGTATGTATGTGAGTATGAATGTGTATACCTCAATAGTCATAAATAAATTCAATTTGCCCTGTTGGTTATCACCCTAATAGCTTTATAGAAGCTCCTGAACTTAGGCACAGGATGTATGGTAACAAATTGTGGGGTATTAGAAGGTTGAGAAACAATACGTGTATTTGTACAAAAAAGTTATTTTCACATAACAAAATATACTTCTTCAGGTTGCATCTCATGGTAGGAATGATCACTGAAAACAGACTGCATCATGGATGTGGATTCTGCATTCATAAAAGAAATTCCATGAGATAAATATATTGTGTAAATAATCATTCACAAGTTTTAACAATATTTTTGCTTGTAAAGCTGTGCGGGTTAACATCCACATGTAATAAGAACAATGTCGAACAAGGGTCTTGTAAAACACAGAAGGATGACTTCACAAGGGTTTGAAATGTACAATAAACTGATATTTAAGGATGAAGACATTTTCTCCCATACCACATGAAGAACTTTACATTGAAAAAATAAGCCAAATACAAATTTGAGACATTCACTACATGCAATGTCAGATTAATATGTAACAAGTTCTCACATCTTTGACAAGGGTCTTGAAACAAATAGTATGTAAGTGTAAGTCAAAATTTGGTGAAGCTGTTCAGACACCTTATATCCTGAAAGAGTAACACACAACACTTACTTTTTTCAATAAAATCTTTGGCTTCAATACCAAACTTTCTATCATACACAACCAGATATTTTTCCATTGCTAATATGTGTATGCAACTCGGATATGGTATATCTGACAAGTACAAAAATGTTGTTTGGCCTGTTTTAATCATTTCATTGCAGTAACATCTATTTTACATACCTTTTTGAGGATCTAATTGTATATTATTAGGTAGGGCATCAACAAATTGCTTTCTATTTGCATCACATGAGCAGCACAATATCCAACCATAGCCATCAAGCAATAGGTGGGGATATCGATGTACAAATACAAATGAATTATGCTGAAGAAAAAAATACATGCAGATTATAGCACCAAAAAAAGCGTATTGAGTAATATCATTTAGTTGGGTATATACCCAACATTGAAATTATGGAAATAAAATTTGACATCACCATAATTGTTCTTTTGTTTGCATTATAATCATGAACAACAAAGGATTGCTGACATGATACATTTGATGCAAAGTCAAACTGTAACAATAGCCCAGTATAGTGGCCAGTGGGTGACAAATGACTCTGAAAGAGCAAGTACACAGTAATTATTAATGTTCACTGTTTCAAAAATATCTATTGTAATATATTTTTATGTTTGTTGAGCACATTTCTACCAGATGTTAATAAAGTTTTGCTAGACAGTGTTTCATGCATAAGCAATCAACAAGCATATTGTCAATTTATAACACATTAAAAACATGACTAGTGGTAAACAGTATAAAGTATAACTGTATATGTGAGAACTACTTGACTATGTTGACATGGTTGTTTGGGTTCCTCTGTAATAATAGAGATAGATTGCTTGGTAAAGATATCTTCAGAGTCCTACAAATAAAGACCATTATTTAATTTAAAATGTGTACAGACTTTTAATAAGTGTTTAAATAATGCATGCCTTCTTTAAATTACTTCAAAATTTTTTAGTTATTTCTAGTGAAAGCAGTCCTACATATAACCACTTCCAATGACTTTTCATGAGAAACAATATCAATATGTACATTAAAACTTGTGTTTTGGTGGTTAACTCTTGGTGCTTGTCATAATTTTCAGCAATATCTTCACTTTGTTCATTCTACATATAAATTAAAAAAAACCCATAAACATAGCGTATTTTTATATCTACATAGTTTTACAATATATGTAAACTTACCAAATCCCCAAATTCATTTTCTTGTTCAAAAAATTGAGATTCATATGACACACTGCTATTCTATTAACATATATGACATTGTGATTAAAGGATGTAGAGAATCCAGACTTGAAATTGGAAAATGTGCTCCGAATAAGTGTTTTCCTTACACCACATTGTGGGCATAAATAAATTTGTACACATACTTTTGTTAATATAACTGTGGTAATAAAAATAAATTAATATGAAATTGTGCAACCAGAAACAATAAAAAGAACACTTTAAAAATTCCTACCGCATCATCTTTTTGTGTGTTTCCTTTCCTCTCCGCGTTATTGTAATTTGACGGGAAATGGTTTTTATTCACTCTTACATCTTCTGCCTTTATAATTAGTCGATCTGTATTTCTAAACTAATATTTACAAATGCCCCAAGAGAATCTTTTTATTTTATTGGCTCTCTTCTACAAATACAATACCATGTCCGACTATTTGATTGCACGAATTTTGTAATTTGATCTCTTTTTTTTGACACGTGTGTTTACGATGGGAAAGATGGATTGCTTAAATGTACCTAGTTGTTTAGACTACTTGAATCCATAGTTATCCTGTAATGTATACTCTTGTGAAACACCAATGAGCATACGTAGTGTGTCTTCTATAACCTCTATTCTTGTTCTCCACTTCATCATCTATCCATATTTGTTCTTTTTTAGTTCTCAGCTCAACACAACCCTTGTCTGAAGTTCCTAAAACCTTCATCTACCCAAGAAAGATCTCTGGTGGTAACATGTTAGGTATGGCTAGTGGTTGGTCATCGTCATTGAGCCTTGTGACACCAGTTCAGTATACGTTAATTGTCCTGAAGACGTTGAGGAGGTTGCTAGTAAAGCGTCACCTAAACCAGAAGTTAGTTTTCATGGTATGCTAACGGATTACGCAAACGTTGTTTGAAAGAAGTTCACATCAAATGGTTATGGTCTCGTTCCATCGTCTTCTGAGAAGGTTTCATGTTCATCCTGTATCTTTCACCAAAGTTACAAATATTGAGTTTTTTATGCTTTTTGAAATTGTCGTTTTTATGACTATTATTTTAGAGCATAGATATTGAAGAATCTTGTGGTAGTACAGGTATTTTCAACATTTTTTTGTTGAAAAATTCTCTAGTTTCAATTCTTCGAAATTTCTCATCTTAATTTTCATCTTTACTTTAGAATCCTTTCGATACGAGAAATCGTCGGGATTTGAGGTACTTTATACGATATATTGAATTTAAGTTTTATAGCGTTAATAACTCTCATCTGTCCATCGTAACTTTGCTATGATTCTATGGATAAATTATGTTTTTGTATATAACAGATTATTGATGATCCTACTTCACCTGAAGGTGTTCAGCAAGAACGACGTATGAAGTTACTGTCGTTAATTAACAATATAGCCCTTGATAAAGGGTTGGATGATCAAAATTATAAATGTAATGGTTGTTCCAGACCAATTGGAATGAGGATGATCAATGAATTCTCGACTTGTTATTTGCTAATAACTCAAATATATTTTATTTCAAATTTCTTAGTTTAATAAATGTTATCTTTGTAGAAACTATTATAACAAAGTACATAATCCCTTTTTTCCGTGAAGCCCATGGATGCGTTCGTTCATGATGAAAGAGTCATATTGTATAATAAGGCTCTCGTTCATCACGAGAGAGTTATGAGAAAGTTATGTTGTAAAAGGTAATAAGTAAAAAACGTATAAACATGCTTAGAATTTTTAAGTTATAGTTCAAAAAGGCAGAAGTTGTTTGAACCTTTGAAATATCTTTGGACGTTCTAGTTTTTATGAGAAGAATTCTTGTAAAGAAAAAGATAAATTTTGAAAACCAAAGAATCCCGTTTTCGGTCCATGCCTCCCGATACCCCGAGATAGTTGAGCACTAGAGCGTCGCATGTTAACTAAGGGAACCACATAATCCTTGTTTGTTTTCCATGAAACATATGTATGGTTTGCTCGTAATACATGAGAAACAGTAAATGGGAGAGTTAAATCAGAAAGATATAAACCGATAAAATTGGTATAAAACATGTTTAAGGTTGTCTTTATTTATAAGTTTCAGAAAAAGACAGGGT